ACAGCCTGCTTACCTTGATGTTACCGTTCTCGTCCAGCAGCACGTTTTCCAGTTTCAGATCCCTGTGCACCACGCCGTTCTGGAAAGCACACCCGCGACAGTTAGCCCCTCGGATGACACAGTCGGCACACCTCTCCATGATGGGAGGAAACCCCAGTTCACAGGGGACAAGGCCCTTATCTCTCAGTCCGGCTCACTGCGACTTCATTGGACCAGTTTAAAGCCGTTTCTCCTGGTTGTAAAACGAACACAGGGCTTTGCACTTCTGGAATTGCTACTGTATTTCACTTCTTGAAGCTGTAAGGAGCTGCAATATAGTGTCGGGAATGTGCAGCAGCTCAGTGTCCCGGAGGAACACTGTCTCGGGTTTTCAGTCCAGCTGAGCTCTACATCTCCAGTACGAATCAATAGCTTAAACAATTTGCTTGCTTGTTTAGACCAGAAGAGCGATCTTGTCTCTTTGCAAAGGAAAAAGTGGGGGGCTGAAACATTCTGTGATTAACAATTGAACACGGCAGAAGCTGCTTCTGTTCTGTCAAAAAGGCATCCTTTACGATCCAAGGGAAACTAGTGACTATGACCAAACTAAAATAAAAAACAACGGCCAACTGAAGACTGAGAAACGGTTCATAATATATAAGGCTGACACCTATTTACGCATTCACAAGTAGGATGTGTTTTATGTAAGAAAGAACCTTGATCATTTCTGTGGATAGTACATTATGTCCTCCTAATCTGCAGCCCTGGTACTCAGACACAAAAGCAGGAAGAGTCAGTATTGCTGTGATTCCACACTTGTAGATGTAATGTACTCTCTCTGTGCCGTCTTTCTCAGCTGCCCACAATGACTCAGCCCTGCCCTCTGATTGGCTGGGGTTAGGACAATGGGCTCCCAGCTGGCTCGGTGACATCACTGCCCTCCAGCTGTGCTGACGATGGCCAACCCAGGCCGCTCGCTAACGAGAGGGCGAGACAGCAGGCTGACTGGCCACACGCGCTGCGAGGGGGCTGGAGGAGAAGAGGCCGCAGCACTCAGAGTTTAAACTCTGTAAAATGATCAATATAGCTTTTTTTTTCTCGTCTTGAAGCTGTCAAAGTGTGCAAATCTCTTTTCATTCAGTACATTTGCCATCGGAGTCACTATATCTCACTGTAAGAGTGGGCGGCAGGGCTACTTAAAAAAACATTATACACAATTCATGGCGGAATTAAAGTGGTTCAACATAATTTTCTAAGAGAATAAGTTCCCAGGTCATTGGGAAGAGGTAGGCTAAGTGCGCTATACCTGATCATGCCCCTTTGAACAGAATGTTAGAGATTCATTTTTATTTTTGCTTTTGAACCTCCAAAGGTCAGTCTAATCAAAGCCTGCGTCGATCGGCTCGTTATTCGCCCCTCGCAAGCTCCGAGTGTGCCGCATGTCCTCCCAAAGCCCCCCGACACCGCCGCCACGTCCCCCCCCGAGAGACGCTGACGCACCTTGTGGCAGTAGTGCACGGCGGAGACGATCTGCCTGAAGAAGTGGCGGGTCTCCCTCTCGCTGAGCCGGCGCCGCTCGCTGATGTAGTCGTACAGCTCGCCCTTGCTGGCGTACTCCATCACGATCACAATCTTGTCCTTGTTCTCGAACACTGGAAGGGAGGCGGCGGGACACGGCAGGGTGAGGACGGGCCCCCGAAAACGACCGCCGACGGAGAGAAAACGCAACGGCAAAGGCCCTCCCACAGGATCTTTTCAAAGAGCGCAGCACGCAGTCTTGAGTCTGCGGCTTGCTCGCATTTTCTGAACAGCGAAGAGTAACTCTCCACCTCAGAATCAGGGTATCAGCACAGTGCAATGCAGTGTAGAAACACAAATCAGATGATTCAAGTGGAAACTACAAGGAATATCATAGCACCTCATATTCTTTACACAAAGAGTGGTGGGAGTGGGGAACAGGCTACCCAGCCATGCTGTTGATGTCAATACCCTGGCTCCTTTCAAGCAACAGCAGGATAAGATCCTGGGTTCAATTAACTACCAAATTGAACTGAAAGGCATACCTCTCAGAATGCAAAAGCTTACAGACTTAAAATAGAAATACAACACAAAAAATAAAAAAAATATTAGTGGTTTAAACACCTGTGAGAAAAGCACAAGATTGTGATCATACTCCCTGTTAAGTACTTAGCTACAGAGAATGAATGGAGAGAATGTACAGCTGCAGAGCTAAATGTGTTTGTTTCAATGCTTTTAGTTTTGCCTACTGTAACTGTAGCACTTTCAATCCACAGTTTCCAGGAAGAGAGGCACCAATAAAAGAGGAAAAAAACATCAAGGCAATCAGTGTGAATATTAAGATGCAGAATAGAAGGCATGTGGAAGCTGATGAGCATCCAGTCCATACTGGTGTTAGAGTGAAGCCCTCCCATAACCATCATAGGTAATAAAAAGCTGTTATCAGGAACACATCTCCATCATGACCTTGCTAGGATAACCTATACGAGCCCTGCATCTTGGAGAACTGATGATGAGAAAGGCACAAACATATGAGCATCTCAATCCCTCCTGTCCTAAACAAAGGAAGACTCTGCACCACTCATCTCGGTGCTCTCCAGGAGTGTCTGTGGTGTCCTGAACACTCTCCCCCTCTTTCACTGCTGTAGCTCTGCAGATGTGGTTTCCTGGCCCGGCGATGACCACAGTGCACATCTGCACGCGGTCTCACTGGACAGCAGGGGGGAGAGAGCAAAGGTGTGGACCCTGACCCATAGGATGGAGGAGTAACAGAAACACCTTTCTCAGCTTGATTCTCAGAGAGCTACCCGAAATAAACGAACCATTCAAATAATCAGCAAGGAAAAAGCACTGCACCGGGTTCTCCTTTTCTAAGCACTTGTTGTGAGTTACGGGATGTACCATTTCTGAACTGCATTCAGTATTCATGGACTCTTGTTTTCTTGTCGCGGCGGATTTCAGCGACGGGAATCGGGGCGAGCCGAGGCCGTGGGGCAGCTGGGTGACTTTAACAGCGGGCACCTCTGCGATGTCTGGGCACGTCTGCGAGGGCATTCCCAGGGCAGGCAGACACTTTCGCAGCTGGTTGGAGAGAATCACGCCTCCGTGTCACATTCCCCAGATCTGTGCCGACATCTACAGTCCGTACTCAATGCAAACCAGGTCAGACCCCGGCCTCTCTCGCACGGCGTCTGGCTGCTCGTACACAGTACAATTTCACTGCCTCTCACTGCTACTGATGGAGAACATCAGCACAGCTGCCAGCGCAAGGAGACGGGTGTGCTCGTCTCTTGTGCATCTTTTAAGTAGCTTGTCCATGCAGCCCTTATCTAGCTGTCACTCGTGACCCAGTGGGATCTCAGACAGAGCTGGACTTCGGCGTCTGAACATCAAGCCACCTCTCTGTAATAAAGATAGTCCTCTTACAGGCCCATCCTCTGTGCTTCTCCAGCAATAAAAACGCCCTCTGAAGCTTGAACAAGACAAAGCAAACTGACCTCTATTACAGGGGAAAGGTAAATAAAAAGTATCCAATTAAAAGGTGACTTCTGCTCAGTCAAAATCCACCAACTTTCACCCTGCTCAAGACAGGACAGCAGCTCCTTACCAAGATATCAAGATGCTTAAATTAGTCAATTTGTCATTTTTGACCATTTTTTTTACACAGAATAGAATAAACAGAATAGAACCGTGTGGTTCACAGGTAGAATTAAAGGCTTAAAATGCAACCAGTGCTCTCAGGACCTCAACGGAAATGCTTACAAAGACAGAGCTTACTTCTATCACTGTCTGGATTCTTACAGCTTGCTTACGTTTCGCCAGGCCTTAAAGCCTGCTGTTTTTCGCTTCCTCTCCTATAGCTAACTGCTGTCTGCGATTATCTTTGATAAAAACGCCTGACTATCCATAACACGTGCTCTGTACTTCATACAGCTAAGTCAATGATGTTCATAGCACATCTTTAACTACTTGCCCCAGGCTCTGCTCCCTTAAAGGAACTACCCTACCTACTGTACCATGAGATCGTGATGGTACAAAAACTAGTTTTGGGGAAAGGCTGCTAAATAAGAAAGAAAAAAACACTTCAAGCCTGTCACACCCCAGTTCAGCACCCCTGTGAAAGTCAACCACTTCTCCAGCACCACCTTCAGACTGGACCTGGTCAGTTCCCTGTTGTGCAGGACAGGACTGTCTGTACGGATACAGAATATACATGTAACCACTGAAAAAGTTCACTGTATTCCTTAGGTTCTGCACTTCTGGTATCTTCACTGCAATATATTTAAATTTTGGTTTTCAGAAAATGTCTTCCCCGTGTGGAACAAAGGATGTTAAGCATCCTGATTTTATTTCACAAAATTCATTTTGGGGGGTTTAGCTCATTATTATTCTAAGCTGTCCATACACAGGTACACACAGGCTTCACTGACTGAGCGTGTACTGCAGTGAACCAGGGCTCTGTGAATATACAACAGAGTTAGCTTCATGGTTGGGATCAGGGCTGGAGTACATCACGACACTCAGATCTACAGAGATGCAGCACAGAAGCCAGAAGTGCTGTCTCATCGGGACACTCTCGGGATACCATACACCACAGTGGGTGAACGCTTTGGACTTACGGAAATGCACATGGCCGATTCGGGCTGGGTGAAGGGCAGATATTTTTCCAGCTAGTGTTTGTTTGTGCTGTATCCAACAGTATATAGTATATAGATACCATACAGTGCATAGTACACGGTACTGTACAGTATATATTTCACCACGTCCTAGAACAGACAGTCCTGCTCTAGAATCAGTCCAGTAAAGAGCACTTCCTGGAATCTCCTACATTGTCTGGCAGAGGGAACCAAACATTTTCAGCCCTGTACACAGAATATTATGAGGGAACCTGATCCAAGAATTCAAAATCCTCAAAAGCACCAACCGCGTCAACCCATAAAGACTTCCTTATGATCAAGAGTGAAGCACGAACCAGAGGAATTTAAGGGAAAAGTGCTTTTAAAACCGAAAACGGGAGGCACCTCTCTACCCAAAGGATTATGGGTGTGTGGGTTCAGCTACCCAGCCATGTTGTATGTTGTTAAAGCCCCTAACCTGGATTCCACCAAGGACTCTCGGATGAATTAGTGCCTAACGGCCAAATGAGCTAGATAGGCTGAATTAAGCAATTAACATTTTACATCAAAGGTTTCCTTCAACGTTCCAGTGGAAGGAGTGGTGGGTGAATGGAGATCAAGCCACACACTGGCTGGACTGGAGGGCTGAGCTTCTTTAGTTTCCCTGTTCCCGGCTGCAGTCCCCCTCTCCTCGGCCAGTCTGTTAGACTCTGCCTGAGGTCCGTCGTTGCAGCTCCTCTCTAACGGGGAGCAGATGTTTGGCCGGGAGATCAGAGCAGCAGCCAGGGGGAGTGATCCGAAACGCAGCTCCTCTGATGTGGGACAGCTCCACACTCCATCGCCCAAACACATGGAGACACACACACCCACACACACAAACACAGATAGGCAGACTAACACGCAGACTCGCAATCTCCGACCCAGACACAATCCAAATAAACACAGACACCCAGAAACACATAGGCTACTGGCAGAGATAGGTCTTGTTCACTCCCTGCCAAGAGGTCTCCAGTAATGCATTTGAAGAAACAACACCCACAGAAATTTAAGCAGCCTCACACTTTGCCAGGCAACAACTGAGTGGGGTTTTCCATCATTACTGAAGGAATATAAACTGTTAAAATCCATGAAGTCCAAACTCATTGGTGAAGAGAAAGATGCTCATGGGACAATACAGACCCTGGCAGACAAGTGGAGGAAGACAGGAAAGCAGCAACAGAGGCTCAGACAGACTGCTGACCATACTATACTAGTGACAGCCCATGATTTTCTGATATTCTAGGCCTTGGGCTCTCAGTCCTGGTCCTGGAGTTTCCCAGCGTCTGCTAGCTATTGTTCCACACTCAGTCCTGGGTTTCAACAATACCCTAAAGCTCATTATTTCCAAGAACTTCATCACATTGATCTTTATGCGATCTCTCTTTAAACTTCAACTCGAACTGCAAATTAATTAA